CAGCAACCTCCAACTCCTGGGCTCAAGCGAGTCTCCTGCCTCTGCCTCCCAAGTAGCTGGGACCACAGGCGCCTGCCACAACGCCCGGCTATTTCTTGGTTGCAGCCGTCATTGTTGTTTGGCGGGTCCGGGCTGGGGATCTGAACCCGCCACCTTAGGTGTACGTGGCTGGCGCCTTAGCCAGCTGAGCTAGAGGCGCCGAGCCAATCAGCTTAATTTTTAAAAAATGTAAATGTATTTATGTGACCTAGTAATGTCAGGGTATGAATTTTCTTATTGATCCCAATATTAAAAAACTAATGATGCTCTGATATAAAAGATTTCAAGTTATAGAGAAGGCAGCAGCCCTAAGATTCAGACATCCTTTTTTCTGGAGATAGGAATGTGATAATATATTTTTGACATGCTAAATATGGATCACAAAACATTTGTTTTTCAATTTTCATTTATCAGTCATGATAAGTACAAGAAAAACATTTATAGAAACAAAAAACAAAACCTCCTATAAACTACTACATTAAAAAAAAAGGTGAACAAAACTATCAGAATAAAATAAAATCATCAAAATGAAAATTAACATTAAATATCAATACTTACACAGCAAAGTAAACTACTATAATAATAAAGCTCACATACAGTCATACAGAAAGACAGAAGGATCAACTGTCAGGATCTATTTTAGGTTTGATACCTCCTTATTTTGGCCTGGGAGAGCACTAAGCCCTAAGCAGTTGGTTTATTTTTTTTCCCTTCCTCACGCTTCCATCCTTTTCACACTGGGGTACCAGTGTAGAAGGCTCCTGGACATAGCTAACCGTGCAGCAGCTCCTAAGGCAGCAGTGGCTGTACTTCGAGGAATGTAGAGCTTCTGAGAAATCTGGTGCTCAGAAGATAAGATCAAAGAGAGCTGGTCCATGGCTCCTTGACTCTTGTCTTTGAACACTGTAACAGCATGGCTACTAGAAAAGTCTTCATTCTTTAGGCTCCTTGGAGAGCTTTCCACTGAAAAAGAAAAGATGAAAGAGTCTTTTCAAGGGGCTCATATACTCACTGCCTTCTCTCTTCCATAGTAGTTCTTCATCTACACATATTACCATCATTTTCTGTTACCAATAGAAATAGACAATTACCAATAGTCTATCAGAGAGGATGAGACAACAAGTGGAAAGGAAATGGGGAAGGAATCATGTATTGAGATAAAATAAATTCCTAGGATGAGGGTAAGAGAGAAGGCAAAAATAAACCTATGAAAAACAAAGGTATGATTTCTTTCTAGTAATGTCATAAAAATAATTTGGATACAACAGAAATCCCACAGAAAAGCCCATAAACTCTCCCACTTCTTTCTGGTACTGAGCAAAATAGTGTCCCATAGGCATTCTCTTTTGCAGCAGTTCTCAACCTGTGGGTTGCTACTGTGGCATTAGGAAGGTTGAGAACCACTGCTCTATTGCCTAAGTGGTTCCGTTTCTGAGTCTGTGCCAGTGTAAAAACAAACCAAGATTTGGTTGCTAAGAAATTCCATATCCCAGTTATTGGTCATAAAACGAATACTTTAGCAATTATTTTAACTAAAAAGAAATAACCCTGTAATTAAAATGAAACTGCTGGAACCCCAATGCTCCAGTGTTCCTAATAGACAAGAAAGGGGATGCTAAGCACTCTCTTATGATGAGCACTACAGACCAGTGTTATCCAAAGTGGCTGGTCTATGCCCTGCTTACTACTTGCCTACAATGAAAGGGAGCTATGTTGACATCTAAGCCAACACACTACTTCCTTCAACAATGTGCTTTGCAATGTAGCTGATTTAACATTTGGGGCACAAGCTCCTTACTGTGTGGTGTACAGACAAGAACCAGTATGCTGACTACATTTTGAATAGCACTGCTCTAGAGCTTAAAAACACAGATTTCAAAAAATTTGAGAAAAAGTAGGCACAGTCCAACATTTTCTTCATTTTTGCATGGTTACCATCTGGCACAGCAGCATGTGGTATGTGTTCCATACATGCGTGAGGAAATATATTCAAGGAGAATTTGACAGGGTAGTCTAAAAAGTGAAATTCTGATTATAAAACTATAATCAATGCCCACTAGAGAGGAAAAGAGGTGATTTGTAAAAAAAATGTGATTTTATAGGAAGCCTTGGGTGAGCCTAGACTTTAAAAGGTATAGATAGATGAAAGAAGAATCACATGACCAAAGAATCTAAAAGAGTACCAAAATTTCCTTCAGCTTTGATGTTATTCAACAGGGCTCATACTCCCTTGCCTTACACAACAAGAAACCTGGACAAGATATATGTAACAACAGCCTTCAGACACTGAATAAGCATCACAGGACAGTGACTCTTGTGAGAAGAGAAACAAACTGTAAGTGCTAATTAATTAGCTCACTGCCTGAAAAGAACTTTTAGGCTTCAGTAGAGGAGGAGGAATCTAAACTGAGCAAGGAGATCTACTAAGTTGAGAAAAGACAGCTCAGAATTCAGGGAGGTAAAGGGAGGTAAGCAGAGAGGAGGCAGCTACAGAGAAAAAGGAAGCTAGGGATCTATGGAGAGTTCTCCTTGTGTAGAAGAAGAGTGATCTGGCTTCTGTGTGAACAAACTACCAAGACTAGGGGAAAAACCACTGACAGGAGCAGGCAGAATAATCATTACACTGGGGCAAACAGCTTATACTGCGGTAAAGTTTGTTTGTATTCCCATAAGCCATAATGAGAAGACATCCTAACACATGTGGCATCAAGTCCCACTGATAACCTCAGAAGGATATTGCCTAAATGGTGGTATGAAATTTTATCTGGACTAAAGTCTTTTCTACCCTAATGAAACCTAAAAGAAAAATTGAAAGAAAAATATCAATTTTGGGAAATTAATTGCATTCTCCCCACCCCTGCCCTGCAAAGACAGACAAAAAGGAAGGAAGGGAGAGAGGAAAAGCAATCAAGCCAACTAGAGATGATACAAAAAATGGAAAGACATGTTATATTCATGGATCAGTAGAATCAACATTGTTAAAATATCCCTATTGTCCAAAGTAATTTATAGATTCAACACAAAATGCCATCAAAAATGCCAACACAAACTCCCCATCAAAATACCAATATCATATTTCACAGTTCTAGAAGGAATAAGAATTGTCTTGGGCCACACACTACACAAACATTAATGACAGCGGGTTAGCCAAAAAAAGGTCCATACATACTTTTCATGAAGATAGACCATATTCTCAGCTATAGTTAAGTGTCATAAATTTAAAAGGACTGAAAAAGAGGAGAAAATTAAGCCCAAAGTAATTAGAAAAAAAAGTATAGTAACCAGTGAAATAGAACACACACACACACACACAAAAACCAGAAAAATTAATGGAATGAAAAGGTGTTCTTTGAGATCAACAGAACTGATAAACTTCTAACACACTGAGATTGGAGGGGAAAATCATCATTTCCCCTCCAAACTCAGTATCCCCTCCATAAACTACCAGTATCTACAGATATTAAAATAAATAATATAATTTATGCTAATAAATTTTATAGCTTAGATAAAATTGATAAATTATCTGAAAGAGAAAATTACCAAAGTTCACTCAAAACAAAATTAATAACATAAATAACCTTCTATCTATTAAAGACATTAGCTAAAAAACCTTCCTACAAAGAAAACTGTTGAGTCCCAGAGGTCCTCACTGTTGAATTTTACTCAACATTTCAAGAAGAAATAATATAAATTCCACAGAAATTCTTCCAGAAAATATAGGAAGAAAAATATGTTATATGCTTCTATTTATATGAAATTCTAGAAAAGGGAAAGACACTTTCTGGAAGCCAGCAAATAAGCAAAGGCATTGATCTCAAAGGGGACACTTTTTAGGCTGATAAAAATGTTCTGTATAATGATTATGGTAGTGGTTACAAGATCATAAACATCTGTAAAACTCAACTCTACACATGAGAACTGGCAAGTTTTACACTATAAAATAGTGAACTACTCCTCCTCCCCATCAATTGCAGAGAAAGAAAAAAGAGTGCAGTAAATAGAATACTTGAGCCCAAACATAAGATGAGGACTTAAGACAAATGCTAAAGTCAGCAATCTTTCAAGGTATGTTCTGAAAGAGAAAATGAAGGTTTTAGCAACATATCAAACAATCATATTTGTCAATTATGAGCACACACAAGTATACGTAAACTTACCTGAACCTGACTGGTTTGGGGGGGAATCAACTACTGCAGGAGTGGAATCAAGGGCTGCTGTGGATAGCTGAATTTGATTGAGCTGAGTCTGAATGTTGGTAGGTTCAAACTGGCCCCCTTCTGTTGACTGCTGCGACTGGATAACAGAGATGCAGAATTCTTCCAATTTGGGCAGTATAGAAGAATCTGGAGAATCCTCTGAGTTCGGCTGCTATAAGAAGGGGAAAAATGGAGCAAAAGCATGTAATACTTATAGCATACCAAGAATTAAATCTTTTTTGATTCCTTATATACAAACACAAATATTTTTCATATCATAATAAATAAAATTCTTCACTTTCAAGAACCTAGATACTCTCTAGAAAAAGCAAGTCTTTCTCTAACTTAATGAACGTAAGTTTAATTCAAAAAACACTGAAAACTGACCATAAGCAAACATGGTACTGAAGGGGGCAAGATGAGAGAAGACATTAACTTAGCACTCATCAGGCACAGTGCTGGTTATTTGTATGTGTTTCTTCATTTAAACGTTAGAACAAACATTCTCAGTAAGTGTTGCTATGTCTTCTTTCACCTTGTATGATGTGAGCAGGGCACAGATATGAATTCAGGCCAGTCTTGTGTTCTCTGTGCCCCCACCACTTCCCAGTAAGACATGATCCCTGTCCCTCAGAATTTCAGAGTCCTCAATTAGGAAAATGGTGTATGTATAGTGAGCATGAAAGGAAACAACATTCTGTGATGTGGACTAAATACCACAACACAAAAGAGGCCTCCTCAGAACTGATTAAATGGAATTAGAAACTTCTCAGAGATTGAACTTGAGCTAAAGTGGATGATGTTCCAAATTTCAACCATTAGGAATCAGATTCTATTTCCTACCATGATGTAGGTATAGTCCAGGGTAATTTAACAGCATTTATCTTCAATGATGTTTATGGATATCAACACCATCATTAATACATGACTAAAAAGGGCCTATGAGGACCAAGCTGTAATGAAAACTGAGCTAAAAGGCTTACACTCTCAGATTTCCCTATAGTAAAATGAAACAATATTGTAGAAACAGAAAACTTAGCTTGTGAGTTTTTCAGGCTTACATGTAATAGACATTTAATAGCAGTAAATGTTCCTTCTGTGGAAAAAACCTACAGCAGCTCATTTTCAAATATGACTGGCGTGAATGTGGCTTCTATCTGTGGTCCCCAACACTTGGGCTGCAGAAGGGTACCAGTCCATGGCATGTTAGAAACCAGGCTGCACAGCAGGAGGTGAGTGGCCAATGAGCAAGCAAAGCTTCTTCTGTATTTATGGCCTCTCTCCATCACTTACATCACTGCCTAAGCTCTGCCTACTGTTAGCTCCCACCCTCCTTACACACCTCGCACCCCACCCCACCCCCCGCCCCGGTCTGTGGAAAAATTATCTTGCATGAAACCAGTTCCTGGCGTCAAAAAGACTGGGGATTGCTGGCTTACACAAGTATAGAATATAATTCTATTCTGTGTGTATAACCGCTGTGCTTACCATTTTTGGTAGCAGAAATAAAATTCTATAGTTATACTGGGCCATACAATATGTTATATTGGAAAACCAAAAACCTTGATTGAAATTTTTTCTTAGTTTTTGCAACTCACACATGTGGTTTAGCTACCTTTTAAGTTTATCCCCATTTAAAAATGAATCTGTCAGTGAATTCTTTTAATAAAACTGTAATGATAATTAACTAAATATTTATTAATATCAAACTTGTATTTTATTTATCTTTTTGAGATAGAGTCTCATTCTGTCACCCTGAGTAGAGTGTCATAGCATTACTGCTCACAGCAAACTCAAACTCTTAGATTCAAGTGATCCTCTTGCCTCAGCCTCCCCCAATACCTGTGACTACAGGTGCCCATCACAACATCCATTAGTTTTTCTATTTTTAGTAGAGGGGACCTCACTCTTGCTCAGGCTGGTCTTGAACTTCTGAGCTCAAGCAATCCCCTGCCTCAGCCTCCCATAGTGTTAGGATTATAGGAATCAACCTTGGAGCCTAGCTAATACCAAACTTTTAAAGCTGGAAAGATCACTAGTCCAAATTAGTATTTGCAGGTGGGCAAACTGTGGCTCCAAAAGGTAATCTGTCAAACTTGCAAGTTTAGTCAGTGGTAAAGAGTAGGCCCTGGATTATAAAACTCCCAGACCAGTGTTTTTACACTATGCCCTGCCTATTTCAGCTGTTTAATGGACAAAAATGAGAAATATTTTTAAAAACTAATATTTTTCTCCTTTCTAATAGCTTTTCACGCCAAAAAGAAACAACATAGGTGAATGCTTTTTAAATTTCTATGAAATTTTGAAAGTGGCTC